GGAAAGGAGAACCGGCCGCCGGAAGCAGGGCTGGACGGGGGCTGGCCAGGGGAGATTGGGAGGAGAAGCGGAGGGTGTGGGGGGCAGGGGAAGCAAATTGTCCAGCGGGAAGCGGGACTGACCCGGGCACATGCAGACCCAGGCACACGAGTGAGTCTGGCTCTGGGGATTCCATTTTGTCCCCCCTCCCCCATACCCTGCCTCGAGTAGTTGCGAACTGCCTGGCTGGTAGACACACTCATGCAGCGTGAGCACATCTACCAGCCAGGAAGTTTGCAGCTATGGACTGATACACTAATGATAATAAAACTTACCTAATTAGAAAATACCGGACATCTTATATGTCCGGTATTTTCTCAATTTGTTTCCCGGACAGAACCCTCAAATATGGGACTGTCTGATACGAGTAGTTGCGAACTGCCTGGCTGGTAGACACACTCATGCAGCGTGAGCACATCTACCAGCCAGGAAGTTTGCAGCTATGGACTGATACACTAATGATAATAAAACTTACCTAATTAGAAAATACCGGACATCTTATATGTCCGGTATTTTCTCAATTTGTTTCCCGGACAGAACCCTCAAATATGGGACTGTCTGATACAAAACTGGACTCCTGGCAACCCTACCCTCCTTGTACCCTCCCTCCTAGCCAGATACCTTGCCCCCAATCTGCTCCTGCTCCCGCCTCCTGGAGTGCCCGTGCAGCGCTGGAACCTCCAAGCCCTGGCCCAGGCTGGGTGGAGGATGCAGCTGGGTGAAACACTGAACATTTATTCATTTTTATTTCTTTTTTTATATGTGTTTATATTTTTGGGCTGCAAAAAACAGTACTGAAAAAAAAAAACGGGTTCCAACTAAAGTAAAAAGTTTGTGAAACCCTGGTCTAGCCAGTTTTCTATCCATCTTACAGTCCATTTATCCAATCCACATTCCCTTAACTTGCTGGCAATAATATTGTGAGTGACCATATCAAAAGCTTTGCTAAAGCTGGCACGGAGGGGCTTTGGAAGGACCAGAAACAACTTATTTGAATATTCATCATTTGCTTAATGAATATGCACATATGCAAATGAATGTTACTGGTCCTCCAAAAGCTCGTGAATGGTCCCCGTGTCAAAAAGTTTGGGAACCCCTGCCGCAGAGCAACAGTTTAGTACAGGAAGTGTACCCCCATATTCCATTGTGAGTGCTTGGGGGAATTAGAGTAGGCAAATTCTAATTATCGTAATTGAAATTTGGCCACAGCTAACACTACTTTTGCAGAAATGTGCAAAGAGATGTAATGGTCACAAATGAACAGGATATTGGTTTTACATCCTAATTTGAAATACAAAATTTCCAGCAGTACAGTGTTCACTGTTGTTATGATGAGGTATTGAATAAATGTTAACTTCAAGAGAGAGAGCCCCCTACCAATTCACTGATACCACTTCTTGTAACACTTAATGTTTTTCTCTGGAGGCCTTCAATCCAAATACTGCCTTAGCTTGACACTGACACTTGAACGTCCTCATTAATATGACCTTCACTGATGGCATAAGGGAAGAAGAGCAACGGGTTCTAAATGGTGATCAGGTTTGATATCTACAGTACTGAGCAAACACACAGTGCTTCCTGTTATTTTCTATGTGTTATTTTAACTCAAAATAAAGGTATCAGATGAAAATGTAATATTTGCTAACATTGAAACCAATAGTAACATCTCTGTGTATTGTATACTCTTTTATTTCATTTGCTAATGACCTGCTGTTACAGGTTTCCCTTGTGGAGTTCAAGTTCTCCCCACTCTCCTCAGTTAACAAGCACCAGTTTGAACCTCAGTGCATGGTAGCGCTTTTTACGGTTTATTTTAACAGCTGTTTGTCGGCTCAGCACACTAGTCTGGACGCTCCCGCGCTGACCTGAAAGCCCTTTATCGACCTCCCCGTTATGCCTCATAGGATGAGGTTTACCGGGGAGGTCAATAAAGGGCTTTCATGTCGACAGGGGAGCGTCCATACTGCCTCGATCTGCCGACAAACAGTTGATCGGCAGAGTGGGGCAGCCATTTAAATTTAAATGAAGCCGCGATTATTTAAATCACAGCTTCATTTCCCTTTGCTGTACGAACAAATCTACATGGCTCCATTGACGGAGCCATGTAGTCTAGACGTACCCTAAGTGTCCCCTTTTGTTGCCATGGTACTATATGTATCTTGAAGGTACTGACATCACTGCTTGTTGTTATGCATACATCGCATTAATTTTTATTTCACCTGTAGTTCAATAACTGACTAGATTTTAGCATACCTTAAAAATTGTAACATGGTGTTACACTAAAGTAGACCCATTTCGAGAAATACACTATCAAAATTACTCAATAAACTCACCCAGGAACAAGAACCATGGTGAGCCTACAGTTCTAGAAAACACATACCTGTATCTGCTTAAGCTAAAGGAAGTTATATGTTATGTTTCAGCCATAAAGTCAATGCTTAATGTTCTTTCTAAGCTTTCGCTAGACACAACAGATTGAACCTCTGTAATCTGGATTTCCCTAATCTGGCAACACTCCCAGTAAAACATTGCTGGCAACCCTGTGAATGTTCTGAGGTTGGAGAACTTACGGGGAAAAACTGGTGGACTGGCCCCAGGAGCGTTGCCAGACTGGGGAAGAGAGGAGCCCTGGTGCCCTGGGAGTCCCAGGGCTGGTGGCCAGGAGTGGAGGGACAAATTCCCTGATTTGGGACCAGTCAGGTCCTGAGAGTGCCAGACCAGGAAGGTTCAACCTGTAGTGGGCCCATGCTCACTGTGGCTTGAACTCCTGCCCTAGTCTGCCACACAACATAGTTGCAACAGGCTCTTGTCCAGAAAGTTCCTATGGTCAGGGGCAGATGACTGTTTTGTGGGGCCCCGGGCAGCGTAACTCCGCGGGGCCTCCCCTTTGCCACGGCGCATGCGCCGTGACGCCATGCGCATGCACGGGGCCCGGGGTGGCCGTCCCGTTCGCCCTGCCCTATATCCACCCCTGCCTATGGTTTTTGCCTTTAGAAATGTAACATAAATAACAAAATCCTAAAATGTCTAACTATACTGCAATCTGTTATTCATAGATCTTGCCTGAGAGAGTCCCCAAGGGGGATATTCCTGGGAATAAACCATTTTAGACAAATTCTATGGAGAACAAGCTTGAGCAACAGTAGAGAATGCTATTGATTTAGATAGGTGTGTGTACGAAACACATTCAGGTATCTGCTACTATACTGTGGTATAAAGGCCTTCAGAGAGTCTTCCATTGGTGTTGTCATCCATGACAACTAAAACAGAATAAGAATGAATGAAATTCTACTTGAGTTGAGCAGTGTGCATTTTCAAAATCTTTGTTAGGTAACTTCAACATGTTTGTTAATGTAAGGTGTAGCTCAGCTATTTTGATATACATAGTTACAGGTGATTCAGCCTCTTAAATTGTAAATGAAACTCTATACAATTTTGCACAATATCATACAGCACCAAGGAGGAGAGTCACATCTTTCTAATCTGTGATGAAATATGACTTGACATTTTACCTGAATTTTGACATAATTGCCAGCCTGTCTTAATTCCAAGATGCTTTTCAGATTTCATATGTGCATCTCAATTTGATCTGCCGTGTATGATCAAAAGTTAAGTTACATGCCATACCACTTTTCCTATCCCTAGAATGCAATGGTCCAGAAGGGTAATCCTCCTTTCTTTCCTTTTGTCTGGCAAATTGAGCAGATTTGCTTTTGTTTGGCATACATGTCATTGTGTGCTAGTGACTGAAACCAGCCATTTTGGTGTGAAATAATAGATTAAATTGTGGAGCTGATATAGCAAAAATGATGGGAAAGTGTCAAAATATTATGGAAAAACCAGTCCATTAGCTAAAATATTGTATGTAAAATATTAATTTATATGTTTATATTCCTCCATTAAATATAATAGAACATCTTTCAGAGATATTCATATTGCAATGCATGTAAAGAAGAAATTCATAAAAGTCTGTTTTGCCATAACATTTTTATGGGTCTAAAGAAAGAGAGGTAGATTCTTTATAGACACAGATTGTATGCAGTTTCTCAGTGACTAATGGAGAAGAGCTAGCATGAAGCTAATAAACATGCCCTTGTGTGTTAGTTTCACATAAACAGCAGCAAGCAATCACTATACTTCAATCAGTTCCAGAGCCAACACTCCCAGTTTATACCTAACTTCCCAAAGGTGTAGAGTAACTGATTATAATAAAGGGTTATAACAACACTGACTAATCTTTGTACTAAACTGTACTTCCAGATTTCATCTTTGTGGAATGGCTGCCTCCAGAAATAGACACATATCATGAACAAATATCTGATTAGTAGTTTAAAATACCACACAAGATCCCTCCCCCCAAAATGCCCCACTAGTCCCTGCAAGTTTACTTTTTTTTTATCACTTGCTTTATAGGCGAGCTCTGAGCACCCAATTAAGATGCTGGTAAATAACTGAAAGATGGTGGTCAAACCATACAAAGAATACCACATATCAAACTGCAGTGTTGCTATACAGTGGTTACCTATATACAAATATTCCTAGGCTATTGAGGACCCGAATTAAAGCAGATCAAAGGTCAAGCTTCCCTGGAGGGCAACTCTGTCCTTAGCCTTTTGCTTCCATAAAAATGTATCATCCTTAAGCTGATAAAGACAATGCTGTTTCTGTGAAGAACTAAAATTGTGAAATATTGAAATGAAACTTGCTTAAATGTTTTTCTTTTTTAAAAAGCCTCTTTACTTAAAAAAGAAGTTTCAGTAAACAAAAGAGAAAACTAGTTTTAAAAGGGGATTTTTTTATTGGTGTCGGAGGTTATTTTCTGGGTGGCAGTTGACAGGTGCAATAATCACAGAAATCCACATGGCTTCCTTCCTGTGGCTTTAATACTCTTATACAAACATGCAACGTGAGACTAGAGGAAGTAATTTCAGTTCAGCGACAAAGTGTTTGCTTCTGCCTATATTCACACATCTTTCAACTCATCCTGAAACCTTGTCTTGATCCTGGGTCTGTAATAATACTCAGCAGATTTTGGTCCTCTCTTGTATCAAAGCTCAAACAGTCAGAGAGAAAACAATGATCACACGTTAGACACAGATCACTTTTAGTTAGGACACTTTTTTCTACATGGCTGTGTCTACACTGGGCCACTTATTCCGGAAAATCAGCCGCTTTTCCAGAATAAGCTGCGAGCTGTCTACACTGGCCCTTGAATTTCCGGAAAAGCAACGATGCTCTACTGTACAAAATCAGCCACTATTCCAGAAAAACTATTCTGCTCCCGCTCGGGCATAAGTCCTTATTCCGGAACACTGTTCCGGAAAAGGCCAGTGTAGACAGCCCAGTAGTCTTTTCCGGAAAAAAGCCCCGATTGCGAAAATGGCGATCGGGGCTCTTTTCCGGAAAAGCGCGTCTACATTGGCCACAGATGCTTTTCCGGAAAAAGGGCTTTTCCGGAAAAGCAGCCTGCCAATGTAGACGCTCCTTTTCCGGAAATACTTATAACGAAAACTATTCTGTTTTAAGCAGTTCCGGAAATTCATGCCAGTGTGTAGACAGCCCATGTATGTTCATCAGCAGAGGCCATTGAATGGGTGCAGGACCTGATGCACAACATGGCATCACAAATCCTCGTTTGTCAGTCTGTCTCATAAATCTGTCCTGATTCTGCTCTGCCCCTACTCGGGACTCCCTCCAGGCTGTTTCTTGTTTTGTGTGTCCCCACAAAGGGGAATTCTGTCAGATTTCCTGCAAGCCGCTACTCTTAAAAAATACACAAGTGGTTGGAGAAGGCAGTTGGATGGCAAACCATCCAAAATGTAGTCAGGACAAGGATGAGAATGGTCGTCACCCACCTGAACCATCTCTCACAGTCTCTGCTGCGTTTTACTGTCCTTGTAAACTGTCCCACTCCTGCAGGGTATAAGAGCTATACATCAGAGGATGCTTGACTGTCTGAAAAAGTGGGGAGACGAGTATGACCAGCAGCAGAAAAGACTGTAGGTCCTGTGGGTGACACAAAGAGGGTTGGGGGAATAGGGAGCTGCAGTCAGAGCTTCAAAGTTCATTAGAGTGGTCTGGCCATGCTCCATGATTTCCTCAATCTTGAATGACTGAAAATTGTCTCCAGATATTAGCAGAAAAAACTACAATCTCCCTCTGAGTGTGGCACCCAGAAAGGGTCACTTGGCCACCTTAAAACAGGTATAATACTTACTAACCTCATTGGGAGGTTGTAGGGTTTAATTAATTTTTAGCAAGCTCCTTTGGAATTCTGCTGAGTAAAGCACTATGTAAGAGCAATTATTTTAATTACTCAGGACCATTCCTGGTCCCACTGATGTTGAGGGCAAAATACATGTTGACTTCACTGGCAAAAGGGGGTTGTGAGGCCCCTTTCTTTTACCTTGCTAGAGAACAGGGCTAGGATATGGATACTGTTTTGCTGCTTTTATAATACCTGCACTGTTTTTACTTTGATCCCATGTGCAGTGCTAGCAAGAGGTTTGCAACGCTGTTTGTGAATGTGGATGTCACCTCTGAGCCTCATGAGGTCTCTGCTCTCTGGTTCCTGTGGTATGTGAAGCAGTGCGGCGGGACAGGCAGGATATTCTCCACAACGAATGGTGGACAGGTACAATAAGCCATCAGCTTTCCTTTTTGGAAGGACACTGTGTGCCTCCTTGCAGAAACTCTTTAAGCTTGCCTATTTTAAAAGAAAGGACAAGAATCACTTAGACACAGTTCACTGCTGCATTAACAAGGCAGCTAAATTCTGATAGTTTTTACTTTACATAGAGATCGTAGATGCCATTGATTTCAATATTAGTAAGGTTCAAATTGTATCAATGTGAAAGGTATTTTTTGTGGTTCAGACAATGGACCAGGCATCAGGAGATTTGGGTTCATTTCCTGAGCAGATCACCCACTGTCTCTTAATTCATCCTCTTTGGAAAATGAGAACAATTGTAATACTTCTGGTCCTCATAGGTTAACTATATGAGAGGTGAGGAGTGTAAGGAGATAGTAACTGCAAAAGTGCCTAGAAAGATAATAGACTAATATTTGAATCACAACAACCATCAGCTGGGTAACTAAAATTGAATCCTTCCAGTGTTCATCATTTGTAAGACTGTCAGAGCAATCTGATGACGATATGCCTTAGCCTTAAAAAGTTTGAGAAGTGATGTTTTTAATGCAATTTACACACATGCAGAAAAAGAAGAATCGACTAATATTCTTGTACACTATGAATGTATGCATAATTACACTCCATTATATTGAAATGAACCTTTTTGGCTCACTTGTGATATGTTCAAGAGAGGGCTTTTTAACATTTTCTAGTTATAATTAATACTACTAGACAGATTTCAGGAGCATACTTCATGCTTTTTATAGCTTATTTATGTATAATTATGGCCATGATTGTTGCTATTACTGATGGGCAGACCTCCAAAAAGGACAAGACTGGCTTCAGCTGAGCAATGAGAAGTTCAAATACTTATCCAGACCTTACCTAAACCTCTGGGACCTGCAGAGTTGCAAACTAAGTCACTAAACTTTCCAAAAGGTCACACAGGAGTTGGGTTTATTTTGAGTGTTGAACAAAAGTTCTGTGTGATTTGTATTTTGTTCACACCAGTCTCCCCATCTCACATTGTTGAACTGACCCTTTTTCTCTTTCAGGAGAGGAAATTTGTTGGAGGCTCTGGTCAAATTAGTGAGAAGTTAATGGAACGCCTGGGAGACCGAGTGAAGCTAGAAAAACCTGTAGTCCGCATTGATCAGACAAGTGAAAATGTAATAGTGGAGACCTTAGACCATGAATTATATGAGGTAATTCTATACCTTACATTTGAGCAAATAATTTTCAGGATATGTTTTTAAAATCTTAAATTGCTCGGTTGGCCTGCTCAATAAGCCAGTAACACATGACACAGTGTAGCAGAGGGAGACAAAATAATCAGGTGTCACATTTTCTGGTATTTGCTAAGTCATACCAAGTACACAGCTTGGAATGGATACCAGAGAAGCAGAAAATGCTATGATGTGCATTCATGCCATTTTTTTTTATTTCAACTCCTTGCATTCTGTTAGCTTCAGAATAAAAGAATACCTCTGGGGATGATGATAGCAATGCAGTGCAAGAGAAACATTTTCCAGAAACATTTCAGACTTGGCTTCCAAACCACTTTGTAAGCAGACTGGTCTTCTTATTGTCTTATTTCAACCAGCTAGAAAAGAATAGCAACCTGATTGGATGGTCTTATATGGTACTTGTTATCATTTCACAATTTCTACACCCAAGAGATCCTAAGAGGTCTATTTTGTAACTTTCATGCTATGGGCAAGTGTTCTTTTCTTTGAAAGATATTACCATCAACCCGCATACTGTAAAGCTTCCCCAGCTTTATTACAGAAAGGCTCGAATACTGGATAATGTATTTAGTTTTATTTACTATTTCTTTTCCAGGCCAAGTATGTTATTAGTGCCATTCCCCCAGTTCTTGATTTGAAGATTCATTTCAACCCACCATTACCACCAATGAGAAACCAACTGATTAGCCGGGTTCCCATGGGCTCAGTCATCAAGTGCATGGTATACTACAAAGAACCTTTCTGGAAGAAAAAGGGTATTACATTTTAATCAGGGATTTTTTTCTGTATTGTATGCTAATGAAAGAGTCCATGTTTCTGTCAAACCTTAGAAGTAGATTTCCTATCTTTTCAGCTACTTTTCTGAGAGTCCTAGAAATGGGAGGGGACAGAGAGAATATGGGGCATGAGGGAGGAAGTTGGGATACCCTAACTCATGTTCATTTTTTTCTTAACCTATGACTGTGAGGGAGAGGGGAATGAGGGGGCAATTGCCATGGGGCCCAGTGATCCTAAAGGGCCCAGGGCTCCCACCTGCTGTTACTACAGCAACTATGGCTGGAGTCCCTGGCCCTTTAAATCATCACTGGAATACTGAGCATCTCTCTCCAGGCAGCTCTAAGGGCTGGGCTGGGGAGGCTGGAGAAGGGGCTGCACGGCATGTTCTGGGGAGCACTGAAGACTGGCTTCCCTGGCTCCACCCCTTCCACCCAAGGCCCATCCCCTTCCAGGATCGTGGAGCTAGCCCCTACCACCTTGCCCAGGGTTCTGATGTGACTGTCGGCTCCCCTGCCTTTCTCTGTCCTCTATATTTTTTCCAGTGACATCTTGGAATGAGTTACATCTCTGCCATTAGTTTACCTTAACAAAATAGTGCGGTTGGGGCATAATAGAAAGAGATTTTATGCCACATACTGCATGCCTCTGATAACTTTGTTTGATAATAGCTTGTGGCTAAAAAAGAATAGCCATATGTGTTAGCTAACTGGAGATCTTATGAGTTTGGATGTTGAAATATTGGCTGAACCATTTAGACAGCACTGATCACAATGTTTCTTTAATTTATTTTAATTCTTGCAGGAGTGCACTACGCAGTCTTGGTTTGCTTTTAAGCTCTTGGGGAACATTTTTTTGCAATAGGAGTCCAGAGTTATCCAGAAAAACTGGTGCTTTGAATGCCAAGTTTTTAATAACAGCTGTATTCTGTATTTCCAAGATGTTAGTACCAACATCCTAGCGTATCTTATATGTGGCATATGCCTGTCATAAAAACCTAGTGTGTATAGCGAAATGTTAAAAACACATACCTGTAATACTCAGAAACAATGTGCTTCTGTGTAATTGTTACCCTATTGTGCTGGTTATAACATAATCTTTTTGGTCATAAATTCAATTACATGAATGTCCTTATTTTGTCCCTTCTCTTCAAGAATTCCTGGAACAGGTTGCTATGGGATCCTATAACTCTTACCTAGAATATCTCACCTACCTAGAAAATAGTATGCCTCAGAGCTCAGGTGGCAGAACAATTCTGTGGAGCAAAACACAGGTGTCATGTTCTTGATCATATCACACTGGTGCTTACACCTCCTTCTCTTTTTCAGTTTGCCAAATCACTTGGATTAATAAAATCTGGGTTTTTTCTCCTCTATGTTTTCTAGATTATTGTGGTACCATGCTCATTGAAGATGAGGAAGCTGCGATTGGAATGACTCTTGATGATTGCAAACCCAATTGCAATGTGCCTGCTATAATGGGGTAAAAGAGAAGAGGAACAACTGCATGTTAATGTTTGTGGTATGGGGTTTGAGGTGATGTGGGAACCTACCATTGGGGAGAAGATATCCAAAAATAAAAACGGAAGTGTAGAGCAGGTCATAAAGTGGTAAATTATTTTATTTAAAAAATGTAGTCAATTTTTGGTTCCAAAATGTAGTCTTTCAAAAACCGTCACTTTAAAAAAAAAATTTAAAATTTTTTGGTTGGAGAAAACTGCGAAAACCTCCCCATCTCCCTTGCCTCCCCAGTGTGAAAATGAGAAAAGGATAAGAGGAGAGAAAGGAAGAAGAAAAGTTGATATTGGTGGTGGTGATGGGAGGAAAAATCCCAAAATCAAATATTTAAAAAAAACCTAACATTTTCTCCAAATATTTCTCCTCCTCAGTTTTTTTTAATGAAAATGTTTAGCAAGCTCTATTAAAAGGGATTTCTTTTCAATAAATGTTTTCTCTCTCCATCTTCAATAACATAATAAGCAACATTTTCTTATATGAAGTTATTGGATCATATTTCCTAATTCCACTCTAGCCTTCACAATTGTTACTATTGTATCAAATGCTATAGCAATTATAAGTAGATTTACTATGCCCATGAAAAGAAATCTTGTAGATCTTCTGATGCTGACCACAGTATGATTTCCACATGTGCAGAGACCAAAACAAAGAGGTCTGTACAGTGTCAATATTGTGGCACACAACCTGTGTGGGAGGTACTTGGCGAAGAGACTGCAGCTGTGTTTAATTTGCAATGGAAGAGGTGCTGGGGACTCAAAACAGTTTTTTTTATGTTCATAACTTATTTAGCAAGCCCAGAGTTGCTGGGGGTAAGAACTGCCAATGCCAGAGGTGCCATGACTCCACACTGGCACAAAGAAAGCATCAGCCTTGACAAAGTTGACTTTCTAGATCTGCCAGCCAGCCTGCTCCCCACCCCCCTGCACAGGAAAAAGAGTGTCCCAGATGTAGTGGCTATGGCAGCCCTGTGGCTACCTTCCTCTCTGCTGCATGAGGAAGGACGTTTCCTCTCTTCCGGGTACTGCAGTCCTAGTAAATTTCTCAAGCAGACAGTTTCTTTATCTCAGGCTGTCTGAAAGTTGAGCTTAAATCCTGCAGAACTGAAAACAAGTTTATACCACATTTCTCAAAAAGAAAGAATTGAAAGGGTTGGAAAGTTGGCACCAGGTAAAGACTAAAAGATAAGAGACAAATGTTGTAAGTTGGCATCATCAAGCCACTATCTGATAGTGTTTCAAAGGGTGCCATGTATATAATGAATGTCATCATTTTTTTTGTGGTTTTCCTTTTTTAGTTTTATTCTTGCTCGGAAGTGTAGAAGACTGACACATCTCACAAAAGAAGAAAGGTAAGAATAAAGTGCCATTGTTTTATACAGTGTTTACATTTTTGTTTAAATTGTCAGAGACTCTGTCTCCCTTCATATAGTAGATGAAAAATTCCCTATATACGATAATTACAGGGATGTTGGATATTAACTAAGCACAGTTTGCAGTGCTGTCACTTTAAAAATAGGTTGTAAATGGTAGTACTGGTTTTTTACCTTCAAAAATATTCCCAGCATTTCAATCAGCAAAGCTAAAATTATATGGCAGTGTTGGGAGGCGGAGTGAGGGGAAAGACCTTTATTTACAGATGGACAGGGTATGTTCAAATTTAAAAACATGGGATGCTCTATGATCAAGCAGACATTTTAACAGTAGTGGTCAGCCCAATTAAATACGATATTGGTGTCCTCAAATCAGTGATACATGAGCTCTTGCAGCATTTGTAAAAAGGGATCATGTGGAATATTACTCCTCCCGCTCTTAGAGCAGCTACACTGTACCACTAAGCTTCTTACTTTTTTATGACTAGATTAGATATTTTCCTTCTTCATTTAAGCTTTGGAATGGAACTTTAAGAGGTGATTGTCAGAGAAGAAGCTAGAAAAAACCTTGAAGTCTATTGTGTCCAGAATTTCAGGCTACCATTAACACCAAATGGCACATTTCACCATGTGACAGCATATTAAGTACAATCGAGCATTTGCAGCACTTGGGAACAGCGCACATGTCTGTGTAATCAATAGACACCTTTGTTACTAGAGAGGTGCCATAAAAGACAAACCAATTTATGAAATGGGTGTCAAAATCATTAACATGTTTATCTGTCTCAGATTAATTATTACACAATAGGACTATGAATACTTAATGAGTGAGCATTAAGCTATTGATGACTCTGTGGTAAGGAATGGTTCTGACATACACTGTGCTTAATGTAGTATAGTACTTACAAATAGAAATCCACCTATGCACACAATTTAAACCTCACTTTCATGCTGCATAGAGAAAAGAGGCAGACAGAATGTTTGGCCAGGAGTCTCCATGCCCACCTGTAAGCTGTGTAGTGGGGCTCCTCAAATGGGACAAGTACGCTGAGTCACTGATGGTGGAACTAGGTTTCCAAGGATCCAGACATCATGTTGTGATTGCCTGAAGGGGCTGTGACCACTATGCTAGCCCATAGGCTGGAACAGAAGTCACAGTGCAGCGGTGCTGCAGCCTGTACAGCCTGTAGGAATGATACTCACCTTTACCCACTACTCAAATTCCTCTGGACAAAGCCCAATCACTAATTACAGTGGGTTGGCTTGAGGCCCAGCTTGCACAGTTATGCAAGGAGCATCTGTTGCTCCCTTGTGCCTGCCTGGACTGTGAGTAGTAGTGCAGGAAGGAGAACAGCCTCCATTGGCTACTACAGCGCCACCCCCATCTCATGCACAGCACAACAAGGGCAATACAATAGCCTCTAGCTAACGGAGCTGCACAGAGCACTGGGGAAGTACACTGCACTGCGTACTTCCTCCACAGAGCAGGGGGAAGCGAGGAGGTAGCTTGTGATGCTTAAGAGTCTTAAAATGCTTCTTTGGTTGCTTTGGGAGTAAGACAACGGCACGTTTCCTTCACTCGTGGCTTGTGAGAAGCTGTGATTGAGCCCAGGGCCTGGAGATGAGGGTTTTGCCCAGGGTGCATGTAAGATGTACAGCACACTATGGAGAGAATGTGAGCAATAGGCCATTTTAATTAAATATTAACCCATTCCCGGGGAAAAGGCTCCACTGTGTGAGCAGCAGGCACCTCTGCAAAGACAGACCTCGCGATGGGGACCACTCCAATAAATCTCGTCAATAAAATGTTGTCACCAAATCCCATTCGACCCTTTTGAAACAGCACATTTGTTATTGATGATTAAAGCTATTGAGTGCCCTCCTCTGCATTTCTTTGGCTGTCTGAAAATGCCCTTGATATGAAGGTGAATATTTACTTTGCTTTAGCAAAGTCATTTTGCCTTTGCAGTTTAGTTGGTAAATAGCAGTGGCACTTACAGCTCTCAGGACCCAATTGCTTTCTTCACATCAGGAGCTCCACCTGCCTGCCGAGAAGTTGGTTAGCTCTGCTATGCAATTTCATCTTCCTCGGACCCTGCAATGGGATCTCTGGAGGATTTGTGATCCACATCGGGGAAGGGAGCAGAGCAGGGCTAGGTTTGGAGGGAGGCTCATTACCCCTGTCAGAGCTCTGTGAGGAACAATCAGGACAGTTAATGCAGCCTGACGTGGCACTTCTCTGTGTGGTGGGCCCACACTTAGAGGGGACTCCAGGAACAATTGTGGGGTGGGCTGTCAATGGTGGTAACTCTCCAGTGGGCTGTGGTGTTAATTGGGGGGTAGGGAAGCAGAGTGTCCTAGGGCTGGTCCAGTGGCCTATGACTTCTGGGAAATCCTGAGAACCATGGTCTTTTAGGGCTGACTCCCTCCTGTTTTTGCCAGTTTGGAAACCGAGACTCAAGTGGAAGAATGCAGAGTTCCCTGGAACTCGTCTACAGATTGCTTTGCTAGAGCACTCAAGCTGGGCTTTCATCTGAGATGGATAGAAGCGACTTTCTTTAGAGTGGAAAAAGAGAGAGAGCTGGTGAAGATGTCTTCTAGTCATGGTTACTGGCTCTCTTGACCCATTCACTGCAGCATGACTCCCGCATTGAGGCATTGCAGCTGTTTGAGCTCCTCCTGGTGTTACCTAGGGTACCTTGTCATGTCTGTGGAATTGAGTTGACAAGGGTTAGGAAAAGCTTGTGTTGGGGATTATGGCATATGACAGTATCATATTTAAACTGTATCACCACAGTCAGTGTGTAATGTGCGCGTGCACGCACACGCACGCACACACATGCACATACACTGTGCAGTCCAGCAGAGGTGGAGTGGGACAGAAATCCTCCTCTGGGCACAGATCAACAATCCAGTCACTCCATGGGGCTGCCGCTGTAGCTCTGGATGTGTATTATGCAGAGTGGAACAGGCTTTGGAGCTGCAGAATGGTGCATCCTCTGTCTCCACTTGTCCTCAGCCAGTTGCTGCACCCTGGAAACCTGCTGCACAGGAAAATAGCTGAACTTCCACAAAGGTGGGCTCCATATGCAACGGGGGACAAGGTCCACTTGTGTAGTTCACCTACTCAGCTCTCCTGTATATGTGCTGGGTCTGGGGCTCTACATTTCTTCTATGAAAGAGACAAAGGTTTACATACAAAAATGGATTGAGCATGGGTCTTTTCCTTTTTTTTGGTTCTTAACTGGTTCACTCATCTCATTCTGATCCTTTTCCTTTTGGGAAAGGATGGGATATGTCTAGAACTAGATAACAAGGGCCAAAAGATTACTCAGAAGTGAGACTCCATTGCTATTGCCTTATTACAGAAGGAACTATATTCATGGATCATAAGTCCATACAAATGAAAAGGGAAGAGGGATTTTTAAATTTCATACCGATTCCCTGAGATCACAACCCAGCAGTTTCTGTTTCCCTCATGAAAATTCAGCAAAGGCAGTCTTCCATGAGTCAAAAGTACAAAAACTTACTTCTTTCTTTCTCTGGCAGATTAAATGACTTTTGGATAATATAAAACTTTGAGATGATAAAGATCTGTCTTAGGGAGTGATTTTCAAAACCGCTTGTGAAGTTGGCTCATATAAAACAGAGCATTGATCATCTTTACTGACTCTCTTCTGAAGTACAACTTCTGACCTCCAAGCTGTTGGTGTTCAGAATAAAACCAAAAGAGTCGAAACCTTCAGCTTAGACACAGGTTAATCTTTATTCTCTGAAAGTAAGAACATAGCAGCAGAGAATGATTTCCTTTCTTGTGTTTAAATCTGTGTTGCATTTCTCCCCTAGGAAGAAGAAGATCTGTGAACTCTATGCAAAGGTTTTGGGATCAGCGGAAGCCTTACATGTAAGCACGTAACTTACAACATATCACATCCAGTCAGTCTCATTATTGTAACTGGGAGGCACCGCTGAAAAGGTGATGTAAAACCAGTGTTCTTGGCAGAGTGTCCCTTGTTTAATAAGGATTAGTGTTCTCACCCTGTTTACTAATTTGTACAGAAAAGTGATGAAAATACTGGCAAGCTTTAGGTCATGTTTGAAAGTTATTAAAATGTGTTTGTGTGAAATAGTTAAAAATGCAAAGGAGTTCATTTTAAAACAAGCTGCTAAAATCTTAGTGCGGAGTGTTCCTTTCATTATTGTTGTACAGTAAACTTAAGCCATTTTCAGCTATCATGTGGCTTGCCTCCCCATCCAGTGCATGCCTGCATAGTGTTCCTTTTTGTCTCGTGATTGCTCCCTCCCATAGCAACATCTGCCTTTGTTTCTTTTGGTTTTTCCCTTCCTAGTAAGGTAAGTTAACTGGTAACGTTTCTATGGTCTCCCTGTTTCTGAAAATTCATTTGCTTTATATTATAAACAGCCTTTATTTTATTAAAGGCAATAACATGGTTGAAATGTTTAGACATGAGCCACAGTAGCATGTCATTTTACACATAGCTCCCACATACTTCTGTGCTATAAAAGTGGCCATATGTGGCATAGTTGATGTATAAGAACATAAACATGGCCATGCTGGGTCGGACAAATGGATTTAATCCATTTAACCCAGTATCCTGTCTTCTGACAGTGGCTGGTGCCAGATGCCCCAACGAGAGAGAACAATTATTGAGTAATGTATTTAAGTAAGGGTGGCTTACAGTTTTTTCCTCCAGTCCTAACAAACCTGTGATTTTGGGAACTTAGGCAGCCTGGGAGTAACGAGTGCAACTATAATGAATACAGTGGTGTGACGAATTGAGGATTTTATTCACCTTGTTTTGTTGCATGTGAGTTCTACTGTCCTATAGTAACCCTGGTTGTGTGCCTCAGTTTCCCTGGGCACTGTACTAATATCTAGATGGGGTTGGGAATTTCAGTGTGATCGCCTCCTCCATGTACACAATGGCTGATGCCTTCATAAACTAAACCCGTGAGCCAGTGCGGCCAGGTGACACCTTTTGCCCAAGAAGCAGGACAAAGGCCAGAGGAGGAGCCTGGCTGGGGGACTGGGACTTGCCTGCCAGGAATGGGTCAGTTGCAGCTGTCTGGGGAAGGACAGGGTTCTGGCTCTGGACCCCCTCCCCCAAAGGTGGATTGTACTAACTGCTTCTGGTTATTGTGCTGACAGATCTGTTTTATACTGTGTCCCTGTCGACTAATAAACATTCTGTTCTATCTGCTGGCTGGAAGTCACATCTGAATATGGGTATGGGGTGCAGGACCTAGTGACCCCCCCTCCCCCACACACACACACACACTCTGGTAAAAGTACAATGGGAATTAAAATCGGTTTTACACCAAAGCTGAATTTTTTACTTTACGTTGTCTCTGCTGTCTGAAGCACAAATCTACAAAAACAAGAGAATTAAGAGGCATCTAGTTCTACAATGTACAAAATAACCACTTAATAAAAGCTAAGAGTGTCTAAAGTTAAGGTTTATGTCCAATCCATGTTGCATTATATGTTATATGTTGTTATATGTGCTCCTCATCTTCTCTGCTGCCTTCTCAGTTTCATCCTTAAGGATTTTTCTTCCTCTAGAAGTTTCATTAACTCTTGTTTTCCAGCCGGTGCATTATGAAGAGAAGAACTGGTGTGAGGAGCAGTATTCTGGCGGGTGCTACACAGCATACTTCCCACCAGGGATAATGACTCAGTTTGGAAGGTACAGTGACTTGCTAAGGAATTCAGCAACAGGAAAATAAAAATGACTAGCCAAATATCCTCTGTAAAAGCCGTAAGCCCTTTGTGCACAGATTTTCTTTAGACCTGGAGTATTTCTAAAGGAATACCTCAAACAGTCTTGTATGATATTACTTCCCCATTTGCCTGGATTAAGTGTTTTTGAAGGATGAGTCTCATTATTAGTCTTTTCACTTTCATCAATGACTACAGGGAGAAGTTAATTGATTTGTTGGGCTTTTTGTTTTCTTTTTGTGCCCAAGGCGGTAAATTTTCATGACAATTTTACCTTTCAGATTTTGAATTGGCTTTCCAATTTCCTTCATGGTTTTTAATACTAGAATAAAAAGGCCTTACCCTGTAAAATATCTATGAATACGAGTGATTTCAATTGACTGTCCCTGTTAGTAGACAGGGTCTAATGCAATAACTACTGTGCCAATACGTAGTGTCCTCCCTGATTCAGGTTTATGAATGAAAACAAAAGTGGCCAAAAAAGCAGCAGTGGCCAAACTGGCAGTTACCATTCAGTTGTGCAGTTATTTTCAGTTACGTGCTCTGGATCTTTTTGAAGTGTAAATTTTGGCAGTTCTAAAATAACTCAGAGCACTAAAGAAATCCAGATTTAGGATCATATAGTGCCTTTCATTTTTAAAGTAGACAGAAGTTACCTTAAAGTAAATTGTCACAGATCCCAGTAAAGCTATGTGATCCAGCAAAAAGAAGCTGTTGTTTTTTCTTTCTTAAGTGTTATGGGGGCTACAGTATGCCATTTAAAGTGCTAGTGAATTCACCTCATCTCTAGTGGTTACAAGTGAAAACAAGCCATGTCTCAGTCTAATTCTCATTTGGACTTCCAGGAGTCCCAGAATTGCACCCAAAATAGCATTAGCAGAATTGCAGTAATACTTTCTGACTCTTTAGAAACATAGGGAAAACCAAGAAGAGTCTAAAGTAAGAAATGAAATGAAAGGCTGATTATCCTAATAGTCTGCTGCTTTGCTAACTCTTAAGTGCTCAGTGATGTTGAAAGTATTCTCCCCTTGCTTCTTACCCAAGGAAGTTTGTCATGCTTTTCTGATCTGGCTGATATGACACATTTTTATCTGTTTTAAAGGATCATTCGCCAGCCAGTTGGCAGGATCTACTTTGCTGGCACAGAGACAGCTACAGAATGGAGCGGGTACATGGAGGGCGCTGTACAGGCTGGAGAGAGAGCAGCTAGAGAGGTACTGACCCATGCCTGTAAATTTTGCCTGTACCTGTTTTATGTCTACGTGTCTTGTATGTGCTCCTTTGATGGCAATTTTATAGGAGGTGACCCACAGATTCATGGTAAATATTAGTCCCTAGTTCAACAAGATCTATAAGCAGGACTATCATCAGCAGGACTACTCACATCTCAAATTAGGGATACGTTGAAGTATCTTGTGAGTCAGAGTCTGAATGAGTTAAAAAGGCTTCTTTCACTCCTTTATCCTGAACCATTTTTTTCATAGAAAACCCACTACCACTCACATGTGAGTGATTACCTGTTAGGGAATAGGTGCTTCTCTGGGAGTATGTCGATAAATAACAGCCCCTCCCAGAAATCTGATATGCAAACATCAGATTTTCTGTTAAATTTGAATACACACAATCATATTTGCTAAGCCCTTGTCTTGATGATAGCAGCATCAACTTAAGCAAAATCTGAAAGCCAAATGTCTTGCCCTTTAAAATAATGAATGGAACTGACCTGTTCTTTATTTTCAGATACTATGTTCTATGAGGAAAATCTCAGAAGGTGAAATTTGGAAGTCAGAACCAGAATCAGCTGTAAGTTTTCCTTCAGTTCCCGCAATCTTTATTTTGATATTAGCAATGCGATAAAGTATGTGTTGTCTTTATCTTCATCAACTACAGCTACAATTTTTATTCTACCTTCCAAAACTGTCCGTTTATGGATAATGGAGACCATGACAGCTATCCAGGGGTGGTGGAGGAGGGGGGGAGGCAGTTTCTAAATACTTTGTAAATGTGGCACAGGGAAGATAAGGCTAAAATCAGTACAGGTATCTTTTACAATATTTGCATTAAATTGATAAGAATGCGTTGGGCCTCACATTTCTTCACAACCTATTTATTGTTATAGGTTTGAAAGCTTTTCAAGCTCAGGTATATTTATTTGTTCTCAGCCACCTTTAATAATGCTGGTTGAATTTCTTTTTTAAAAAATTTGATAACTTTTTTTTGCTGAAATTTTTATGAAAAAAACAAGGAACAATTTGAGTAAATTTTGGCAAAAAAATATTTCCTGCTTTTTAAACAGCTCTTTTTTATTGAAGTGAGAACAAATATCTAGTCTCAGCCTCTTTCTTTTGAATATGTTAATTTCAGGTTGTAAGGACCATCAACAAATATATCCTGTTGAATTCCATTTCTCAAGTAGATGCCATCTGCTTGGTTCTGGGTGTTTCCTGATTCATCAGGAGGACATGGGATAAGAACTGATGATAATAGAGTGCCAGACATTGCTTGAACATTAGACTTCTGTTTAAAAGAGGAAGCATACCCAAACAGATTCAAACAGATATCTCTGTTTCTGCTGTGATGTATTTGATATTTATATTTTCCCTTTCATAGCAGAGGTGATCCTGCACTAATGCTGAATGTTCTCCCATCCAGGATGTCCCAGCCTTGCCAATCACTACTACATTTTGGGAGAGAAACTTGCCATCTATACCAGGACTGCTAATGCTGGTTGGATTTTCCACTTTCTTCACTTCAATGGCTGTTGTTGGTCTATTTGCCTACAAAAAGGGGCTGCTAGTTAGAAACTGAGAAGGATGTTAGCACAAATCTGCACACTTGCCATGTACTTTTTCCAAAGGTGGTTTTTGTTTTGTTTTGTTTTGTTTTGTTTTGTTTTGGTGTGTACTTATCTGTCTCCAAAGCAGATCAGAACAGGTAAGGGTAGTGTGTGTGTGGGAGGTGGGGGGGAGAAGTAGAGATGCAACTTCAGAGTGGGGATGAATGAAAGGGGTCAAATAAAGTAAGAACCACCTGAACATTGACCTATTTTTTAGCATCATCATCTGAGGTTCTGAGGTATTCTGTTCTGTGTTACTTCACTTTGAACTTCTGTCCAGGTCTGTAAATGAAAATGCCCCTCCCCCCCCCCAAAAAAAAAAGTGAGAGAGATGATCTTATGATATTTTCAGCCTTTTGTACACTGTCTCTGAACCAACCTGAATTGTGAACATTTAAAGGCATGCCCATCATAAGTGGAGTATTGCCCCCTCATGTTTTAGCAATCTAAAAGACTTCTGTTGTAGCTTCACATCACTTTTGAATTAATGCAAATTGCAGGTGAGACTCTTTTAATGAATGTTTTTCCCAAAATGCCTTGAGCCCAAACATCACTTTAAAAATGTATGGCTAAACTTTGAAATTGTTGTTCCATGATGCAAGTGCTCAAGGGCTTGTCAAGAGCATAATTCCTCACTTTACATTTCCAATCACATGTTATGTAATAGGAACTGCTTGGAACAAAAAAAGAGTAAAAATCTGTCTTAAATAGCCCCTTGAAAATTCCCCCCAATCTAACAGTTGTACAGTGTGCTTATCCTGTCTTGGTTGCATAAAGATGCTCTAGGTAGTGCTGGGGTCAAATTAGCCCCTCTGTCGACTCCAGGGAGCCATGCAGTAACTTTTCAGTACTTACTTTTTGGCACCCTTGTCTACACTTTTTGGAGCAGGGACTCTCTCTCACTGTATGTCCATAGAGTACAGTGGGCCCTAAATCTCATTTGGAGCCCACAGGCACTACCACAGGAAATAACAACTTTTTGTCCATTGTTGAACAGAGCTTATCTGGGTTGCAGAATCTGAGTTTGTCAAGGCTGTTCCCCGCTCTGGCACTCAGATTGCAGAAGATGGGGGCTGGCAAGAGACCTTAAACACCTTGCCTCTATAGGCTTCTGTTTAAAAAAACTCCCCACAGTTACAGATTCCCTGGTCTTGGGAGATAGGCTTGTGCCACCATCAAGTGTAAAAAGCCCCTTCTCCTTAGACCCAGGGAGAAGCACTTGAATTTCTTCCAGAGGGGTACGCCCAAGCTCTTTGACCACAAGAGAGTGTCAAGAAAAAAAGAGAAAACAAACTACAGTCTATGATAGCTGACCTCTCAGTCTTAGGTGGGCACACACAGACCTCCTGCTATCTTCCAGGACATAAGAATGAAATCATCCCCTTAAAAAAGATGATTTTATTAACAAAACAAAAAGCTGTACTTGATAAAGCATACTGGTTGCTAGATGTTACAGAGCAACTGAGAAGAGAACAGATTAAAACACAGAGAAAAATGGTATCTCTAGGTGCAGCTTAGATGCAGTAAATGGGGGAGGCGGCACATGGACTTAGCACAGAGAAGTTTAACCAAACAACAAAACAAAGAAAATAACCCAACCGCGACTAAATATACATTTTTCCTATGTACTCACAATCTGTGCTTCAAGGTCCAGTCCATTTCCATGTCCAGTATTCTTGGTAGACATGCTAATTCTGCCTAGTTCAATTCATCTTGTTTCCCCCAGCTCCTAGCTTAAACTCACCAAAGAAAAAAGCAGGCAGGTATATCGTTCAATTCAAATTTCAACACCCTCTGCCATTGGCTTTCTTGACTCTCTACCAACATCCCCCACCTATATGAGTTTAACCCTTTATTAATTGAATGCTGGCCCCCATTCCTCCTATCCATCACAGAGCTAATGTCTTGAAATATAAATGGAAACCTCTAAACATTTCCATTTGTATTTCTTGGAATGTATGTTGTGTTGATGGGTGTACCTGGATTTACGAGGGTGATTTCTCTTTGGGTATGTCTGCACTGCGGAACTATTTCTGGATACCAGAAGTATCCCAAAATAGCTATTCTGTGTCTATTGAAGCAGCCCATTATTTCGAAATAGATTTCAAAATAACGGGCAGCTTATTCCAATGTCCTGGTAACACTCGTTCCATGAGGGTTAAGGGGCTTTTTGCAATAGCGAGTTATTTCGAAATTTGGCGCTATGTAGACCGTGACAAATTATGAAATAAGCCATTTCGAAATATACTCAAAATAAGCTACACAATTTGCGTAGCTGTCCTCCTGCTGTACAACGACAACAAAAAGCCCCTGCTCAGCTTTGCTTCTTGATTCATAACACTCTAAATTGGAACTTATATATACACTTTTAATAGAGTTTTTTTCATCACACCTATAGCCATACAGGATTTGTCATGCCTCCGAGGCCTCAGTATTTCACTTAAAAGGAAATGTTATTGCAAGTCTGCTCTTTCTAATATAGTTTCCAGAAGAAAGGACTCTTACTTCTTTACCTTAGTACCATCAGACCTCATTATTTTTGTAAAGGAGAAAGACAAAGCAAGGGAAGAGCTTTGAAAAATCCTTTCAAATCACTATAGAACTCTGCCTTAATAAAAAGGTACCTGATCCTTTTAGGCACCAAAGGCTCAGGACAATGGAATTAAGTGTGAGTGACAACAGCATGGTTTCTAGGGCTGTGCACTCATCTTCTTGTCCTTCAGTTCTTTTCTGCACTGTAATTGCTTCCAAGGAGAAGTTGTTTCTGGTTCCTGAGAGTGAGAGCAGCCATACTGCGCTTGTTAGTCAGCCATTCTTTGACGAGATCTTGTCTTAAGCTTTTGGGTCTGTAACTACCCGTGTTTCAACCTGCTAGCAAAATGTAGAGCAGGTTTCTTTTTTCTGCTACATCTGTAGTGAGATCTAGTTTTAACCTGATTCATACCTCTGAAGACTACATGATTAAGAAATATACAATCCTGTAGTGGGAGTGTGGAAGTCCTATGAACAAATTCTCTGCTGGTGCAAGTAGACACAGCACGGACATAGGTGAAACACTGAGCTACCAAAATTAGCATATTTTCAATTGTCCTTTTCTATTCAACCTTCAGTTAAAGGCTTTCTGTCATTATGCTAATTAATATAAAGCTACTATCCCAAGGTACATTGAATGCCATTCTAACTATGCCCCATAAAAAATTCTCTTGATGACATTTCACACTCGGACTTCTATGAGGAGAAGCCATGAATGATTATGCACAAGATTGTTGCTTGTCCTACAAGCTTGCATAAGGGAATGCGGGGGCATAAGATTTCTTGCATTGCAGCTCGCAGGGCAGAAAAAAGAGCAGACTTTGAAGAGAGTCTCCTCTCACTCAGGTATGCGGAGTGGGGATGGGAAAGGTGGAACCTTGACTAAGCCCCACAACAAACCAGTCAGCATAGTTGAGTCAGCTGTGTGTGGTAAAGGACTAGGGCAGATTACTTTCCGATGGAGTAAGGGAGAAGTAGGAGACTGAATTGCAAAGTTTGTTCCAGGGGTAGTGCAGCTATACACTACCCCTTGGTCAGGGTAGCCCACTAAGCAACAATCCAGTTCTGTGCTCTCTTGTCTGGTGGGAGACGACATGATCTAGCTAGGCAAGATTTTGTAGAGTCTTTAAAACAAACCCCCTGAAATCAAGATGAGGAGAATAGCTCATCAGTAGTGTGTTAATTGTCGAAGGGTCAGTTCTGATGCTGTGCAATAGGAGTTTCCATGTAAGTAGTTAGAAATGCAGTACAAGTCCTAGTGATGTTCCCAGGCTAGTCATAACTATTCAAGGGGCTGAATCCTAAAGCAATCAAGTGGAGCCCTGGAAAGCTTAAGCATAGACTGGTGCTTCTGTCCTCCTTGCTTTGGGGACTTTGAAACCATGCAAACAAGAATGAAAAAGTAGCACCGCTATAAAGAGAGCATCACAGTTCAGGCCAGCTTCCCCTCTGCTTCCTTTTAGTCATTCAGTAAGTATATCCACTCTTAGGCTTCCTGGTCCCAGCTATTGCCTTTCTTGTGTGGATACCTGTGTTTCTCTCTCTCCTGACTGGGTGATTTCTAGGCTGTATGGTTTCCTGCCTTTGCTGTAATTCCCATCAAAAGGCAGTCTGCCCAAATAGGCCTTCTTGCTTTCTTTTCAGAGGCTATTGCCAACAGCTGTATGTTACTACACAGCAAGTCCAGTACAAGCCTTTCTTATTCCTAAAGTAAAAGCACTTCAGGAAAAAAACATATTAAAACAGTACATATCTCTATGCATGCTAATATGCTTGCCAAAGATCCCCCACTACAGTTGTCTCCCGTGTGATTTCTGCAGATGAGTCTCTCAGACCGGGCTATCCCTACAAAGGGGGCCCCTCTGGATGGGGGGGGGGGGGTCTGACCCTTCTGCATTGTGAGGACTGCACTGTGAGGACTCCACAGCTGGTGCCACCCAATGTCCAGCGTGCAACTGCCTAGGACACCATGGAATTTGGGTAATTTGGTGCTGCCTACTTTGTATACTGGTAGAGACAGCCCAGAATTAGTACACTCACATAAAGTTTAGTTCCTCTTGTCTGCAGATTGGAGGTCTTTCAACTGGAGTTTTCAGAAGCAGGTAATCAGAATGCAATTAATTTCTCTCCTCAGGGCATATCTTGAAAAGAATGGATTTGAGGCAGGGCATTTGCATCCTCGAGTATTTCCTAAGAAATCACATGTATTGCCCCCCAAATCCTTTGAAGTTCCTGATATCCCCTAAGATAGTGGTCCCCAACCTTTTGGGGCTGCTCATGCGCCGCATGTCTGGGGGCGGGGTCGCTCACACACCTCGTGCCCAGGGGCAGGGCCGCTCATGTGCCGTGTGCAGGGCTGGATTGGAGGGGAGGAGGTTAGCCTGGCAGCTGCCTGGGATGCCAACCTATGGGGGCACCTGATGGCAGCTGTAAGGGGCGCTGTGCTCCTGGCCGTGCCATGCAGCACCTCTTTGAGCTGCCATCAGGCGCCGCGCGCCCGGGACCGGGGGCTACGCGGCGCCCCTTAGAGCTGCCATCAGGTGCCAGGGGGTGGGGCCGTGCATGTGCCGTGTGCCTGGGGGCAGAGCTGTGCATGCATCGCACGCCCGCTGCCCGGGGCGCAGGAATGGCTCGAGCCGGCCCTGGCCGCGCGCCCGGGGCTCGGGGTACAAGAATGGCTTGGGTCAGCCCTGGTCACTCGGCAGGTGCACATAAATGCCCCAGCAGGCACCATGGCACCCACGGGCACCGCGTTGGGGACCACTGCCCTAAGAGGTT